ACAAAGTCATGTAAGATCACTTAAGTTAAATGTACACATGATCTTGTGAGATCTTACTGTAGAACAATAATAACGAGATATTGCATGATCTTACATGATTTACATAAACACAAGATCTTGTCTTTTCTTGCATATGAAATGATACAATATTTCTTACAAAGTCATGTAAGATCACTTAAGTTAAATGTACACATGATCTTGTGAGATCTTACTGTAGAACAATAATAACGAGATATTGCATGATCTTACATGATTTACATAAACACAAGATCTTGTCTTTTCTTGCATATGAAATGATACAATATTTCTTACAAAGTCACACAAGATCACTTAAGTTAAATGTACACATGATCTTGTGAGATCTTACTGTAATATAATAATAATGTGATATTGCATGATCTTACATGATTTACAATAAACACAAGATCTTATGTTTTCTTTTGAAATGTGATCTTATGAGATCACACAACTTCCCCAATGCTTAAAAATCATGAAAAATCCCGGTTAAGATTTCACAAGATTTTGCCAGGCAAGATTACACAAGAATTATAATCTTGCAATTCCTTGTAACATCCTAAAATATCAATGATTATCTTGTAAGATCTTGCTGGGAATTTTTACAAGGGTCCCCATCACCTATACCTTATTTATATATAATCACTAATTTAAACACATTATAACTACCTGAAGTATTGAGCATAGCAGAAGAACTACTAGTATCATGTGATAGAGCCTCAGAATGATTCTCTTTTTCAACTAAATCGGCGAGTAAATGAGACAGCAGTTCCAGCGCCTTCTTTTAGTGCCTAAAGACCCCTTAACTCGATCAAGCCTAACTAGAACTGGTCCTTGTCTTCTTTGAGAGTAAAATGGAAGTCCATTTGGTACCAAAACCCCTTTCTTCCTGCGTTTTTCCTTGAAGAAGCAACATCATCTAGAACCGACATTTTTACACTTGAATAAAATGGAAGCCACCATGCCCAGGGCCCCGCCTTTTATACCGCACCTTCTCGTTTAAGCGAAAAGGCTCAGACATCTCAACTTTCTTTTGATCAAACCGCACCATTTGTCTACCATTTTGGTATTTACCATACCATTTTGTCTCATCAAAGTTGGTATCTTTTAATATATCTCTGATTAATGACAAATGATTGATGCCTACAAAAATTACAAAGATACAGACTGCTCAAATCAAGAAATAAAGCAACATACTTAAACGAAAAGGCTCGGACATCTCAACTTTCTTTTTGATCAAACCGCAACAGTGCAAGGTAGGAGGAGTGGCTCGCCTCCTCTGCAGTCCGCGCATGCGCAGTAGTTGATTGGAGGACTTAGTCTATTTCCTGGAGTTGTCTTTTGTGTGTTGCCTGTGAGGCTGTGAAACTTAGTTTTTTTTTCAAGAGTAGATTTTTAGTAGTAATAGGCATAAATATATCAACAGTAATAACTTTGTGTAGGTAAGTTAGTTCTCTCCCAGCGCCTAGTTGGGGCTAGAATAAAGTTAGGAGATACGAAATTGTGCCTAGAGATGGCAAATAGGGGGAAGATGGCATTTTACAGTGATGATGATGATGATTGATGTTTGTGAATGTCTTGTTAGATTATTTTGTTTTTCTTTTTTTAGATTTTTAGATGAAATAGTTTAATTAGTGAGTAATTTATCTTCAGGATGGACAAGAAAGTAAGTATAACTTGTATGCAATACTTTAAATAGTAAATACATGTATATACATGTACATAAAAACTTGTTTTTCTTTTTTTCTTTTGTATGCTCTCTCTCTCTAATCACCACAGACAAAATCTTCAGGTAAGCATTCTCAATTTTATGTGTACAGTACATACACATACATGTACAATGTATTATAGTCTTAAATGATATTAAAATACTATTTGGTATCAGTATTCCTGTATTACATGTACATATGTATTATTGTATTAATGTATATGTACTTAGCTTAGTGTAGTGTGTACAGTTTATTTACATT